GCATGGACAATTTTAATAAAATTTTTTAGCTAAAAAGTAGGTATGTATGTTAGAAATGACTGATATCTTTTCGGTCAGCTATTTTTGCCTTTATTATGTATGATCTTTTCTCTTCTTTTGATGCCTTGCAGTCAAAGGGTTCTTGGAAAGCAGGTTCCTTTAGGTGCCTCCAGCAGAGATTTCTTCTCTATGTAGCAGGGGTGATGAGGTCAACCCAATTTGCTGGACTAGGACACTTCAGATGGAGTCTTGCTGAGTTGACAAATGGAACTCCTAATTGGCCTCCCAAGTATTAGTAATTCACTGAAGTTGATTGATAATGAAGTCAGTTTGGTGGAGGGAGCAAAGGTATGGAAACAACTCCACCTTCTCTTTTCAGCCTTCACACAGCCCTTTTCTCTCCTGGATTTTCAGAAAGAGAAATAGGAAACTTTTCATCCATCTACCCCACTCATCTTGAAGCAGTAGTGTGAGAATTGTGGGAATTAAGTGAACCACACTGACTCCATCTTGTGACCCAATTCTGGATCTAGCTCAGTTCCCTTTCTATTCAACTATGAATCTAGTCCAATTTCTGTCTCATGAGAAAACTTCATTCAATTATGGAAATCATGAAAAAGAATTCCTACATTGTTTGAACTCAGTACTGCATAGCTGGGGAGCTGGACCAGCTCTACCTGCTGTTTAGAGATCCTTAACTAAGGACCTGGATTATTCCAACCAGGAACCCTGTCAGGTCCAGATTGATGCAAGACATTTTCTCCCAAGTATACATCTCCACAACCTATATGTCTTATCTGAAAATCAGTGACTGTTTCAATTTTCCTTTGATTGAATACCGATACTTGGACAAAGTGGATACCTCTTTTTCTGATTTTGGGGAATTGCACTATTTGCTCTCCCCCTACAACTCAGAAAGCCCCTAATCTTTCCTCCAGATAGTGCATATTGCACTAGGCAGGGATCTGGGTCATGGTTCTGGACAGCGGTCCTGGGGCGAGGAGGATTGCTGGCGTGTTAGAGCTTGTAGTGGCAGTGAAGAGGAAACCTTCTTCACAGTACCAGGACAGAAAGGAGTACTTGTGGTCACTAATAGACCAGAGCACAGGCCAGGAAAGGAATAATGTAATCTCGCCTCCTGGTTTATAACTTGTTACTTGTTTTCTTTTAACACATAAAATCTGTTTCCCCTTGTATTCCGGGCCCAGTGCCAAGCTGAGGAGTCCTGGTCCTAATTTGTTCTGCAATTGGCATACATTGCTTAAAGTGATATGCCCAGAAGCTCAAACCATTGTTTCCTCAGTTATTTCAAGTTTCACCAGTCGCAGTACCACTCTACTTCACGTTGCTGAAGGAAGAGACTATGGGAAGAAGCTGATAGGAGAGGATCTGGGAGTATCCATCATGTTTCTGTCCCTAGCTTGCTACAGTAGAGACTATGAGGGACTTCCCCCTGGATGAGATGTAGGACTCTTTCTCTTGACTGAGCTGAGTTATCTCAACACTAATGGGAGAACTCCTTCAAATTGGATTGGAGTGGATAGTAGGTCATAAGCTTTTATTATTTTCAGGGTGTTCTGTTGGCTTCTACCTATTCAGTAACACTTCTAGACAAGGTGACCAAATGTCCCAACAAATTATGTCTTCTTGTCTTTGAACCTATGAAACCAACTCTGCTCTTTCCATCATTCACCTCTCCAAGGAGAATCTTTGAGCCATCATTCCATTTTAGCTGTAATTTCTTTGTCTTATTGCTTCATTCATAAAAAATTGTCAATATGAATCTTCTTTTTTTTTCTCTAATACTCTATCATTTTTTAATCACTGAACAAAATCTTACACTAGAGGAGAGGAGACAAGATGGAGGAGTAAAAGCAGTGACTTGCTTGAGCTCTCCCCAAACTCCTCCAAATACCTATAAAAATGACTCTAAACAAATTCTAAAGCAACAGAACCCACAAAAAGACAGAGTGATGCAAATTTCCAGCCCAAGACAACCTGGATGGTTGATCAGAAGGGCATATTGCACTAGGCAGGGATCTGGGTCACAGCTCTGGACAGCGGTCCTGGGGCAAGGAGGAGTGCTGGCATGGTGGAGCTTGTAGTGGCAGTGAAGAGGAAACCTTCCTCAGTACCAGGACAGAAAGGAGTGCTTGTTGTCACTAATAGACCAGAGCACAGGCCAGGAAAGGAGTAAACACCTCGCCCCTTATCATACCACCTTGCAAGAACTGAAAATTTACAGGTCCCTACAAGTATCTCTGAAAACAGCTGTATAAACCTCTGAAGCTTGGGACAGTACATTCTCCACATGGGAAGCAGACTCTTACCTTAACAAAGAGTTTAAAACTCAAGTAATTGGCTGGGATCATGAGCAAGCAGCACAAAACAAGTCAGACTATATTATCTTACTTTGGTGACAAAGAAGATAAAAACATACAACCAGAAGAAGACAACAAAGCCAAAGCTCCTATATCCAAAGCCTCCAAGAAAAATATGAATCAGTCCCAGGCCTTGGAAGAGCTCAAAAGGGATTTTGAGAAGCAAGTAAGAGAAGTAGAGGAAAAACTGGGAAGAGAAATGAGAGTGATGCAAGAAAATCATGAAAAACAAGTCAACAGCTTGCTAAAGGAGACCCAAAAAATACTGAAGAAAATAACACCTTAAAAAATAGCCTAACCCAAATGGCAAAAGAGGTCCAAAAAGCCAATGAGGAGAAGAATGCCCTAAAAAGAAAAGTTGGCCAAATGAAAACGGAAGTCCAAAAGATTACTGAAGAAAATACTTCCTTAAAAATTAGAATAGAGCAATTGGAAGCTAGTGACTTTATGAGAAATCAAGACACTGTAAAACAAATCCAAAAGAATGAAAAAATAGAAGAGAATGTGAAATATCTCATTGGAAAAACAACTGACCTGGAAAATAGATCCAGGAGAGAGAATTTAAAAATTATTGTACTATCTGAAAGCCATGATCTGAAAAAGAGTCTAGACATCATCTTTCAAGAAATTATCAAGGAAAACTGCCCTGATATTTTAGAATCAGAGGGCAAAATAGCAATTGAAAAAATCCACCGATCTCCTCCTGAAAGAGATCCCCAAAGGAAAACTCCTAGGAATATTGTAGCCAAATTCAAGAGTCCCCAGGTCAAGGAGAAAATATTACAAGCTGCCAGAAAGAAACAATTCAAGTATTGTTGAAACACAATCAGGATAACACAAGATTTAGCAGCTTCTACACTAAAGGACCGCAGGGCATGGAATATAATATTCCAGAGGGCAAAGGACATAAGATTACAACCAAGAATCACCTACCCAGCAAAACTGATTATAATCCTTCAGGGGAAAAAATGGTCATTCAGTGAAATAGAGGACTTTCAAGCATTCTTGATGAAAAGATCAGAGTTGAATAGAAAATTTGACTTTCAAACATAAGACTCAAGAGGTAAAGACATGAAGAGGTGAACAGGAAAGAGAAATCATAAAAGACTTATTAAGGTTGAACTGGTCACATTCCTGCATAGAAAGATGATATTTATAACTCATGAGACCTTTGTCAGTATTAGGGTAGTTGGATGGGGGAAATTATGTATATAGAGATAGATAGATGATAGATAGATAGATAGATAGATAGATAGATAGATAGATAGATAGATAGAGGGCACAGGGTGAGTTGAAGATTAAGGGGTCATATCTGGAGAATAAAATTAAGGGGTGAGAGAAGATTATACCAGGAGAAGAAGAAAGGGAGAGGTAGAATGGGGTAAATTATCTCACACAAAAAAAAAAACAGAAAAGAAAAGGCTCTTACAGTGGAGGGGAAATGGGGGAAGATGAGAGGGAGTGAATGAATCTTATTCTCATAGGATTTGGCTTAAGGAGAGAATAACATACACATTCAATTGGGTATGGAAATCTCTCTTATCCTGCAGGAAAATATGGGGGGGAAGGGGACAAGAGAGGAGGAGTATGATAGAGAGGAGGGCAGATTGGGAAAGGGGGTAATCAGAAGCAAATACTTCTGAGGAGGGACAGGGTCAAAAGAAAGAATAGAATAAATGGGGGGGGCAGGATAAGATTAAGGGAAATAGAGTTAGTTTTTCACAACATGTCCACTATGGAAGTGTTTTGCATAACTGCACATGTATAACCTATATTGAGTTTCTTGCCTTTTCAATGAGGGTGGGTGGGGAGGGAGGAAGGGAGAAAATTTGGAACCCAAAGTTTTAAAAACACATGTTTAAAAAAAAGGTTTCACATGCAACTGGGAAATAAGAAATACAGGAAATAGGGTATAGAAGTCTGTCCTGCCCTGCAAGAAAATAGAAGAGGAAGGGGAAAAGAGAAGAGGGGGAGAGATAGAAAAGAGAGCCGATTAGGGGAAGGGGTATTCAGAATGCATGCCATCTTGGGGTGGGGGTAGGGGCAAAATGGGGAGAAAATTTGGAATTCAAAATCTTGTGGAAGTAAATGTTGAAAATTAAAAATAAATTTATATAAAAAAAGAAAAAAAGCCTTACACTAAATTGCATTATTAGTTATGAAGTGGTCTAAAAATTTATTCTGAACACTCGTTCAATTTTTTACTGCTTTGTCACTTTTCTTATGCAAGTAGAAGATGATTGCCCTGCACAGAACACCATTTTGTACTTTCATCTGTCTTGTTTGTCACCATGGCCCAAGAAATTATCACCTAGTGGCCATTGTTATGGTCCTAGGCCTCTTGGCTTATCTATCAGGCAACAGAATTAGTCACCAGACCTGTATTCAAAACCTTTTCAGCCTGGTAAATTTTCCTAGCACTTTGGCTTCTCTGGAAAATTATGTATTTCAACTCTGACTTCCTCTTCATCAAAACTCTTTCAGAGCAACTGATTTGAACTTAAGGAAGATAGCCTTTGAGAACCTAGGGTCAGTTCCACACCATAAGCAGTTACTGTGGTGGGCCCTTTGTGGAAGGTGTTAGATTATACATGGATTTTATTTATAAGCACTTACCAATTGATGATCAGCATTCCAAAAGTTGTTTTCGTTTTTTTTTTTTTTTTGGTAAGTTGAAAGTACGGAACTTGAAAGCCATTTTACTGGAAAAATGATGTGGGTAATGGGGGTTAGATTGGTAGGCCTTCTCCTAAAACCTATTTACTCTCAAAATCAAACTGAACAAATAATATACTAACAATATCAGCTTGAGTTCTGGGTCTTAATAGCCAAGTACCATCTGGTTCAGGAAATAAGAAGAGAAGAAATGTCTTCTATCTCTTTCGTTGTGTGGGATAAGCTTTAGGCAAGTTTTCAGAATTGTTATCATTTTCCATTATCACCCTCCCACTTCCTTTTCATCTTGTTTTCATGTGCCTGTCTTACCCTTCTGCAGTGTCCTAATGGTCCTGACAACCTTCTACTACATCAGAGTAGGCATACCCATCAGTCTTGAATCTTTAAGTTTATGTACTTCATCAGAACTCCCTCAGAGTAACTGATTTGAACTTATGGATGATAGCAGTCTAATGGATACTGACTATTTTTTATAAGCTCTTAATCTGGGGCATATGAACCTAAAATTTTTTGATAACTATATTTCAATATATTTGTTTCCTTTATAATCCTACTTTAAAAAAATATGCATTTAAAAACATTACTCTGAGAAGGGCTTACCAGACTGCCAAAGGGGTCCACGACATAAGAAAGATTAAGACCCCCGACCTGGAGGTTAGAGAGGTTGCTTGCTAATTTAAAGGAATGTCTACTTGGTGGCATTTCTAGCCATTTGGGCAATGATATTATGATATTATGGGGCAAGGCGATATGGTCCAAATGTAAGATGGTCCTGCCTAAGAGTCAAGGAAAGAGAGAGAGAGAGAGAGAGAGAGAGAGAGAGAGAGAGAGAGAGAGAGAGAGAGAGAGAGAGAGAGAGAGAGAGAGAGAGAGAGAGAGAAGCAGAGAGACAGAGAGACAGAGGAAGTGAGAGAGAGAGAAACAGAGGGAGAAAGAAAAAGAGAGAGAGAAAGTGAGAAAGAGAGAGAGAAAAACAGAGAGGGAGAGAGAAAAAAACAGAGAGAGGAAGCAAGAGAGAGAGAAACAGGAAGAGAGAAAAAAACAGAGAGAGAGAGAAACAGAGAGTGTGTGTGAGAGAGAGACAGAGAAACAGAGAGAGACAGAGAGAAACAATCAGAAAAACATACACAAAAAGAAACAGAGGGACAGAGAGACAGAAACAGAGAATCTGAGAGAAACAGAGAACATGGAAGATGCTGCATTTCCAGAGTGCTTCTCCTCTTTTCCTAGTTGCTGATTCCAGAGCATGTGGTGGGAGGAAGCATAGGGAGAGGAGAAGTTATCAGACTGTCTCTGTGGGATGCCTAGCCCCTAGCAGTGCCAGGAAGCTTGGTATGATGCTAATAAAGCTGGGGGCCTCTGATAATCCTAAACTAAATTCCCTCAAACTGATTAATAAAACAAAGCTCCCAACCTTAGCAGTCACCAGAGCAGGTCATTGACCCCATTTTCTGCAACAGACTTTAGTGCAAAAACCAGGTTCCTGTGGAAGGTGTGTGAAAGAGGGAAGGAAGGAGGGAGTGAAGAAAAGAGAGAAGGAGCCACCTGAATCTCATACCAATATGTTTTACAGAATGAATCCTCACAAGGATTTTTCTTCCCTCAGACAGAAAAAAACCCAAATCTAGTCATTATCCTTTCTCCTGGGTACTGCAGGTCTCTGGTGTTAACACGTTTTCTTCTGCTTTGTGGCAGCCTCTTGGGGATGCAAGAGAGAAAAAACATATTTCTTTGAAAGCCAAATGTCTGAAGTTTTCTAATGTGCTTTAGCTCATTTTCCAAGCTATTTTTGATGCCATCTGATTAGAGCTAAGTATTTTTAAATCTAGAGGGGCAGCCTTTCCCTGCAGTAATGTTGAAGGATTGGGAGAGTTGGGGAGCAAAAAGGAGGGTGGTGTTGAGTATCTCTTGGTTAGATTTGGCCAGACTGCTGACGTTTGTCAGAAAGGAGGGATCACATCAGAAGGAGGGCAGCACATTTTTCAGCTGATGCAATTTCAGGCATCTGCTAATTTTACCAGCTACTCTACAGACTGCTTTACATGACATATTGACAAAGAAAACAGAAATGTAAATAGTTCCTTCTGTCAAGGAACACCTGGCTCTTTCTTTTGTATTTATTTATTAATTTTTGTGTGGAGTTGGATTCCCATTCAATTGTTTGCTGCTCTTTTGGATAGCTATAAGTTCATCATGCTGGGTAGACAGCAGATTATCATGCACAGTAACTAGTTAAAAACTGGGGAAATGGAGGGGGAAAGGTGAGGCATGTTGGCATGGATTGAGCCTTATGCTAGATTGGATGATTGGCATCAAGTTGGTCACAGTTCCTCAGGAAATGTTTTCCCTTCTTGCAATAACCCAACAACATTTATTTCTTAAATTTTCCCAAGTCAAATGCAATTTTTATGCATTTGGGGGAGACAAGTGCAGCCTAGAATAATTTTTCTTCTTTTGTCATGACAGTGAAGATTTTTTTACATTACAGATAAACAATTATGCTTATTTCTATTCCCACAACACTGACAAGTAGAGTCCCCAAAGCTAAAAACATCTTCCCCTTGGAGTTCAAAGTGTAGCCCTTAGGGGTTAGGACTGATTTTCTAATTCCCTTCTCTTGAGCCCCCATTGGTGTGTCTCTCCCCAAGATAATCAGTTGAGAATCAAGTTATTCATTCAGACTTTAGTAGCTTTTAGGAAGGGATATTTTCTTAAGAACAGTTGGTTCAAAACATCTCACCAAACATCTGTGACACACTGTCTCAATATATATATATATAGACTAAAGGGGAAAGTCGACTCAATCTTAGAGAGCACATAGAGCAAAGTGGATAACTCAGCATTAGTTGCTAGAAATCCTTTTCTCCCATTTGAGGGGTTCACAAGAAGTTCACCTCATGCATCGAGGAAATGGAAGAAGAAGGGAAGGAAACAAGTATTTATTAGTGCCTACTATGTGTCAGGCACTGTGTTAAGCTATATAAATGTCATTCCATAGTGTAGGCATGTGTGTAAATTCAATTAAGCCATGAATTCAGTCTAACCCTGACTCCAAATACAAACACTGTTGCCAACCAGTCTGGGGATAGGCTAGGACACTGGAGGAAAACTGGGAGTTCCAGCATCTTCTAGACCTTTGGAAGCTCCCAGGGGTCCTCCTTCAGTCAAAGTAAGGAGGAAAAAGACCCGGTCAAGGCTAAACCCAAGACTTCTCCTCTCCACCCCCAGTATTCCCTCCTCAGGGATGCTCTGGAAAGCCATGCTTGCTCTAATTTCCAGAATTGCATCCCTTCTCAACTCATAAATGATCCCTGGAATGTGTCCAGATGTCCTCTGCCTTGATTCTTGTAGTTAATATCATTCTAGTGTTAAGATCTTTTAACAGTTAATCTAAGGCCTACAAGTAGTTGATTGAGAAACTTTCTCACCTGATTAAAGTATCAAAGTGAAGACAGAACGGTTTTGATCCTACTCTTACATTTAAAGTCATCTTTCTCTCTGTTTCTCTCTATCTCTTTCTCTCCCCCTACATTTCCCTCCCTCCTTTCCTTCCTTTTCTTCCTCTCTCTTCTCTCTCTCTCTCTCTCTCTCTCTCTCTCTCTCTCTCTCTCTCTCTCTTCTCTCTCTCTCTCTCTCTGTCTCTCTCTGTCTCTGTCTATCTCTCTTTCTCTGCCTCTCTCTCTCTGTCCTATGGAGAGAACAATTTACCTTAACTATCATTCATTGAAACTGGAACTAAAGTCCTACTCTTATACCTCACTGTGGTGTGGAGGGGGTTGGTTTCTTGAAGGTAATACCTACAAAGCAAAAGCTATGATAAACTCTGGAAACAGATTAACAAAGCATACTAGATTTAGTACCAGAAGGAAACTTAGAGGCCATCTAGTACTTTCCTCTTTGTTTTACAAAAGAGGAAACTGACACATTTTGACTTCTCCAATGCCACACTTTTGATGACAAAAGTAAGATTTGTACCCAGGTTCTCTGACTCCAGAGTCAGTGCTCTCTTTCCACTGAACCACACTGTGTCCCTGAGGAAAGTGATCATTTTCTCCTGATAGGTCCTCTTTTTTTGTTTGTTTGTTCTAACTCATAATAGTGAAAATGTCAGTGTCAAAAGACTATGTAGAATGGGGCCTCTCATAGTAATGGGTTATATATCATAAGGCAAGAACTAATCCTAACTCAGGATGAGGCAATCCTGAGATCTTGTCTTTGTTAAAATTTATTTATGGAATAAAACAAGCATTTCCAAAACATAGTACAACAAAAAAAGATGATTGTACATGGAACTGCTATGCATAACTTGCTATTCCTTTCAAATATATAACAAAATTATTATGTAAATTTCTTTTTTTTTCCCTTTTATTTTCTCCCCCTCTCTCCCACCCTACAGATAGCTACCATTTTAGTTAACCTCTTAATCATAATGCCAATTGTGAGGCTTGAGGCCTCTGATCCAGTATACAACAAGAATCTGAAGGCCATGCCTGCTGAAAGGTAATTAAGGATGCATCTAAAAGTGGCTGAATTCTAGGGTCTCTTTGAATCTTTCTAGGACATGGAAGCATAAAACAGGAACCAAGTGAAATCATCCCTGGTCTGTTTCATTTGCCAGATTCACTCCCTATGGACAATTATAGGACCTGATCTCTGTTTTTCTTTCAGTAACTAAACAGAAAATTCCATACACCCTCATGGATATTCTCACACCATTACATACCGTTACTCAACTAGGAAAGCCACTGGCCATGCCATAGTTGTGACCTCAGACCTCACAATGAGCTGGGAAACTCACCCTTGTTGACCATTAGACACCATGTTATTCACTTCTTTTGCGTCGGGATTTCATAGGATCATAGACTTTAAGCTAGAAATGACCTCAAAGGTCATCCAAGTCCTTTTATTGTATTTAAAGACTCAGGGCCCCAGTGTAGTTATTTCACTTGACCAGTCACATACGCAGTAAGCATCTAAGGTGGGTTTCAGACCTATCTCCTCTAACTCACAAGCCAATGCTTTCTAC